GGGAAGAAATGAATATGTATGCAATTGTATAATGTTAAACTAAATAACTGGCATAACTTGCATGAGTAATCTTTAAAATGTATTTATTATTTTTTAAATTCATTTGAATCTACTGTTCCACAATTCTACAACAAGGAACTGGGATAAGAATAGATAGATATGTGATGGCAACCTCTTATACTGAAAGGTTCAGTCCTTCATTTTTCTCTCACCAAGAAGGCAGCTACCATCAACCAGAACCAATTGCTTGGAAGGATATGTTTTGGAATTTAATTAGATTTTCTCAATTTTGCATACCACAGCCTACGTTTTGCTCGTGTGCACCAAAGAACTGGGCATGAGAACAGAAGTGAAAACCCCAATGAATTAAGTCAGCCTAACACTTGCAACTTTGGTCAGGTCCACAATGACTCAAACATATTCATTCAATCTCTTGCATCTATCCCTACACTACACATCGACATATACTGTATTTCTAGTTCATATTACTAGCTTTATAAACGCGATAATTGTCCCCATGAGAGAAGCATAGTAAAATGGTAAAAATACTGAACTTCTCATTTGAAATGAATCATCAATAACTGAACCTACCTCCATGACAAGGTGATCTTGATACATTTCAAAAGCCAGGACTGATTTAACCAGCTGATTTAAAGATGTTTTGTGAATGTCAATGAGCCTGGTCATTTATGAAACCAATCAATGAACTATGAACAAATATAATCATTTACTCTGTTGCAAGTAGGACACTTAAGAGTAGGCATGTGCTGTACTACCGTATCTCTTCACTACATAGAAAAACTGATGATGCACTTTGCCCACAAAAGCACTGGAGACTTGCATCTTAGGCAGTCATTCAATAATTGGTTTCCAAATTAATTGTAACCAACCATGCGTAAGTGATTTGATTTATTGGTTTGGCAACAAACTGTAGATTAGAGTGCAGGTTTAGAAAGCAACATTCTGGTAATATTTTGTGTTAGCAGGTTTAAGCTGGCATTTGCAAAACAGCTTTGCTGAGCAGGTTTCTGTTACAGCTGTGAGGTACCAGAAAAAGATTAGAATCTCAATATTTTAACCAGTAGGGTACATGTGTTTATGCAAATGACACATGTCCGCTTTTCAAACTGCTAAACTATCTACGGAAACTGATCTGTATTCTTAAAGAAATGTGACAAACTTCAAAGATTTTCCTTTCCATCAATCTGGAAATTGTTTTTGTTAATGTTCCTACTTTCGCTGATTTTTTTTAAAAAGAAAAATAGTTTCGTAAAATGTAAAGTAGTATTTGATGGAAAGGGCACCGAGAGACAAAGAAAGGCAAGCATAAACTTATCTCTTGTATAGACTGAGACCTAGGACCTTCATCAAGGATCAGGATTCAAATGAATGCAGACAGATGTAATTTAGCAGTTCTGCAGTATTTACTGTCAGGTAGTGCTTGATCACTAAGACATGCAGAGAGGACATTGAGCAAATGTGAGGTGGAAGGGAATCTGCGTATTTGAGTTGCGACTCTAGACATCTGCCATGCCAAACATCAGTGCCTTAAGATGGTGGGTGTGTTTGTGTCAATGTTAACTTCAGGCTCTGGATTCCATTAGCACATAGAGGTTGAGATTTTAGTCTATTTTGCAGCAAAGGCAGATTCCTTTGATTGTCTCCATCAACAATCAGGAGCCTGAGATCCCGTCCTTAATCCAGATCAAGCATTCTGTGGGACAATTTGGGTCGATGGACCGGTCTGAGCAGGAATCACATCAGAGACGAAAGCAGTCTCGGGAAGCTGCTTATTATTAGCAGCTGTCTAAACATAGTTTTGATTTAAGTGGGAGGATTATTCCATGGGGCTGCTTTGTAGAGGATTTTTGAAGCAATATGGTTGAAGTTAGAGAATATTGTGGCTACATCTCACTGAATGGCCTTTTAACTTTGGCTTGGGGAAAAAAAATCACCTCTTCAAATTCGTAACAGCACTGGAAGAGAGATCGAATAGTTATTTTAAAAAAAAGGACTGCCCAGAAGGATTGTTTTTTTTGGTTGAATTGCATTCCTACGTTCTACAGATGGTAAATTGATTAGGCCTTTGATTTTCCAAAATAATCTTAAATGAAAACAAAAACTTTCAGGTGTTATTTCCTACTGTGTAAATGAAAATTGGTTTATCTAATGGTGTTGATGAGCCAAAGGAGCTTAGTTTAGAGTTTCAAAATCTCTGACCACAATACAAATTGCATTGCATTAAATCTCTTCTGTTGTATGAACTCGAAGCTCAGGCAAATACATAAAAATTAATGGATAGTTGCCAAAGGATTACAGAGACAGGGCAATAATCCAGTCAAAAGTTCAGGCGCTATCACAGAGCACAGCTCAAGCAGCTTGTTGCCAGCTAAAAACAGAAACTGGATCACTTTTTGCAATTTACAACAGACACCCACTGTTCATGACAGCAGTGATTTTATTCATTAAAAGCGTTTCCTTAAGATAGCTCCATATCCGAGCCTGATTGAAGAAATCACTACATCGTGCTTTAGGTTCCCAGTCAGTTGTGTGTGAAGTGCGTTAAGATATCCTCCCAATGTGAAAAGCACTATAGAAATGTAAACTTCCACAGTACAATATAATCTTCCTGTTGAATAACAGCAGAGGTCAAGATGGTAGAGGGAGCCCTGGTCTCAGATGGACAAACATGTTGTTTGTCACTTTGACCAAAGCTGTTTCTGTGCTGTGGGCGGCACGGAAATCCAATTGGAGGGGATCATGAAGGGAGTGGCGAGAGAGGAAGGAGCAAAGCAATAACTTGTTCCAGGACCCTGGAAAGGAAAACGAGGTTGGAGATGGGAAGTGTGAGAGCAGGGATGGTTAATCTTCATGGCTCTGTCCTTGAATGGCTCCGATCCTACCTCTCACACCGTCTCATCTCCACTAACGGTTTCTCCTCCAGACCCCACACCGTCTTGTGCGGTGTTCCTCAGGGCTCTGTCCTTGGTCCCCTCCTCTTCAATATATATGCTCCCTCTTGGTGACATCATCCGCAGACATGGGGGTCAACTTTCATATGTATGTGGATGACACCCAACTCTATCTCTCTGCCTCCACCCTCGACTCCAGGAGCACTGCTGCCCTGACAGAATGTCTGTCAGACATCACGTCCTAGATGAGAGCTAACTTTCTTCAGTTGAATGTCAACAAGACCAAGGCCCTCCTGATTGGCTTCCGTCAGCACCTCCTCACCTCAGGCGCTGACAGCATCACCATCCAAGGATGCACACTCCACCTCACTGAGCCAGTCTGGAACCTTGGTGTCCTGTTTGATCCTCAACTATCGTTTCTACCCACATCTGTACCATGATACGCTCTGTCTTCCCCCACGTCCGCAACATTGCCTGTCTCATACTGCAGGCTGCCGAAACCCTCATACACATATTCAGGACATCCAGGGCTTGACTACGCAAACTCCCTGCTTGTCGGCCTCCCCAACTCCTCCCTCATCCAGAACTCTGCAGCCCATGTCCCCTCCCGCACCAGGCTCCTGACCTATCAACCACATCCTCACCCAACTCCACTGGCTTCCAAGATTGTTGTCCTCACCTTCAAAGCCCTCCATGGCCCTGCTCCCCCTTACCTCTGTGACCCCCTAATCTATTTTACCCCTTAAATGGTTAGCGAGTTCAGGGAAATTTCATTTTCCTTGGGTAGGTTTCTTACGTTTTTAGTTTATTGTAATGCCGATACTCAGAGTTTAGGAGAAGCTTTATTACTGGAATATAAAATAATGAGCTTTACAATCATCTTTGTAAACTATTCTGTTCACTTACCTTCTTCCCTTTTTTTAAAAAAAGTTTTAGCTTTACTTTTTCTCTTATCTAATCCACTTATTTTTGCTTTTCTCCCCACCCTCAACTAATCCACTCCTGTTTTTGCTTGCAAACATTCAAACAATAGATTACAATTCTAATTCTAATTATTAAAAGACAAATGAATGGACAAACTGGTGACAGAGTGCCCAGCTTACAGGAGATCAAGATAGAAAACTGTCTCAAGTTCCACTCTTGGTTCTACTAAATTAACAAAACTATGTTATGTGAAAGTAATGTACCTTTGACTGGGTTACTGCTTTTTGCACGTAGTTAAAGGGAAATATCAAAATGGTGGTTTTTGGCCAAAGAAAATGACCAATTCTTCCTTCACTAACAGCTTGCTGGAGATCTCCCACATCACCTCTCAAAGCCAGCTGAAAATTGCCAGCTGACCTGACGAACAGACTGCCAGCAAATGACCACACAGATTGTCGGTTAATACATTTTATTTGATCAATATTGAATATTTAAGTTACCGAATACTTCAAATTCACCTACAGGGACAGGAGTGGAATATGGAATATGGGTCCAACTTTATGGCAAACCTGATGACTTTCCACCAGCCAGTGAGCAGTGAAGACTTCAGTCTTGCACACTTCAGCAATTTATCCCACCTTCTCCCAATCTGGTTACATTGGGTAAACATACAGAATGTCATACACTACTTTTATTCTTATCCTGTGCTGATAAAATCAATTAGGTTTATCATAAACAAATTTGGAAAATAGACATATTCATTACTTAAATAAAAATTGCATACCTTTCTGCTAACACAGGTACAGTGCATAGAAGACATTCAAGCATCAAAAAGAGGAATGACAAGGCTAAGAGAAATAAACTGAAAACCTCACACACACACAAAAAAATATTCTGGCGTATTTAGTTTTGCTTTCGCGTGTTTCTTAACAAAAGTGTGTGTGCAAAAGCACATTTGTGTGCCAATAATCTGCTTTATAGGGTACCGCTGGAATACTCAATGCAAGGAATTTGGCAATTGTGAACAATAAGAAAGATTCTACACAAGGGGCAAGAGCCCTATCCACCCAAACAATTTTGTATTATGTTTCTAACAGAAATGCATACAGTCTATCACAAAGAACTACTTGAATGAAAGTGTTTAATTGTCACAGGCTTACTTACGATTTGTACAAATTTTTAAGACTTATTCCTTTCTTGAGAGTTCAAACCCTTTGTTTCAGATGTCCTGGCTTTGATGCTTGGCAAATGGTCAATCCCACAATCACTGGGCAAATAGTTCACCTTTTACGACAAAAGAAAATGAAGTTCAATGATTTTGATGCTTTGATCAGCATAATTTAGCTCGTATTAAGATTACAACCCAGTGGTTTCACATTGAGTAATTAGATTCCATGCTGTGGCTTATGTACATATGGCTAAAATAAAGAAAATTATGTAGGAAAATGCCGTAAAGCTAAAACAGAATTACAATTAAGTGATCAGCAATTACTTACCAACGCAATAGTTTTATCATTGAACATTTCAAGATCTGGAGAAATCAGTGCTATAATTACAGATTGATACTTCATACTGAACGAATAACATTCAGAGCATTCAATATACACCCAAAGTATGCAACTTCAATTGTTAAACTGTGGATGTTTCATAGATGCCAATATTCTGGTAATGCTATTTTGAAAGTGTTAATGTTTCATAGTTTCTACAGTTTTAGATGAAAGTATCTTCCTATAAGATTTTCCAGGGGTAATAATCCCTTTAAAAATGAATAAAAGATAGTAATAATTTGGTCACTCAATCCATAACTTTTTGTGGGAGACTGCTGTGCGCAATTGGTGCTGTGTTTCGCCCGCAAAATATACAGTAAATTCTGTGAAACGCTTTGAGACGTCTCGAACACATGATAAGGCGCTATATCAAATGCAAGGATTATTATAAGATCCAAGAGACTAATTTCAGCACAATGGCACATTTTAGATCATTAGAGCCAACCACACATACACAGTTTAGTTAAAAAATGGATTAACACTTTCAAAATAGCATCACCAGAATATTGGCATTTCTGAGGATCAGATATTTTCTGCAAATGAAACATTTAAGGATATTACATATCTTTCCACAGTCTATGCTTGGACATTTTTGTGTGCGCAACAGAAAACTAGACTTTGGAAAAAATTAAATGCACAATTGAAATGAAAATGAAATGCTCAAAAAGGGTCAATCAAATTTAGCACCTCAATTTTAATATGGTTCAAGAATCTGATGGGGAATAGCAATTTAAATACATATAGAAATCTATGGTAATGCCCTCAGATTGAATTAAAAATAGGAGAAATTACCTGGTGATGGGCATCTTGTCAGATACCCAGCTGACCAAAAACAACAACAATAACTTGCATTTATATAGTGCCCTTCAAGTGGAGTCGTGTCCTGGAGCGCTACCATGCGTGAAGGACGCTATATAAAAACTGCAAGGTCTGGGAAATCCTATTCCCTAACCCACTCTGGATCTCAGGCTCCTGCTCAGACTTTGCAAAACACTTTGAGATGTTCTCCCTTCATCAAGAGAACTATAAGAGTACATCTTGCCGTTGTTGTAAGTCAGGACTGATCCAGAAATAATCCAAGTGATCCTGTATTAATTACGTTTGCAATGTGAATAAACGTACACAAATCAGAGTTTAGAAAGCATTGGGTGACAAAGTCGTTACCAAGTGTGAAACAGCCACACTAAATTCCACCATTTGAACTCATCTCTGCTGAGATGGACATTGCAGGGCTTTTGCTCCTACACTGAGCCACACCAAGCACATTGTAGCAGCAAAGTCATGACAATGAGCTCCAGCAAAGCACTTTTGGGCTCGGGAAAGGAGAAAAAAAGAGTTAAGATCCACAGTCCTCACCATTAAGCTGTTAGCTCTGCAAAATGCATGCAATTAGGCAGGTGGCTAAAAATTGGGAAGCTGTAATGGTTCTCATCTCATCCCCCCCATCAATATGCCAATAATTCCTGTCTAAGCTTCAGGCAAAGAATGTGGATTTGGATGTAGTAATAGAGAGTGAACTTCATGCAACCACAAGTATGAGCCCTTGGGTTAGATAGATGATTTGAAAAAAATCTGCCAAGATAATAATACAATCAAATTAGTATTTAGTAATAGTTCAAAATAAATATCTATGAACAGCTATGTAAAATTGACTATAATATAGAACTGCATTGCAGGGATTTTAAGATAACAAATTTGGATGAATATGGCTTTACAGTTTTGTAACAGTTTGATTTGCCCCTCCTCCCAAGCTTTTCTTTAACACAATCACGTACATCTTTTTTTATGGCACGGGATTACATTGGAAAACCAACTAGCTCTGCAAAGCATTTGATTTATGATCATTTGCAGCCTCATTGGAAATCTGCACTGCAGCATTGCAGGTTTTGGAAGAGGAATGACAATTGAGTTGGGCAACACCAGAAATAGAGAGTACATACTGATGATCAATAATTATTTTCCAACACATCTGTCTTTGTCCTACTGTGACAGTTTTAAGCCATAAGGAATTTAGTCATACCACTGCTTTTGTCTAAGCTAATTCCATATTGTAATTGATGTAATGTTACAGAACAACCTATTAGTGGTTAAGGACTCTATGCCAGAGTGACATAGACGGGTTTGCACATGCAGTTTCCAAAGAACAAGTTACTGACTTCAATTGTGCAGTCAAGTAACTGAGTGAAACTTAAGCTCTTCCACCACAGGGAAATTAGTCCACCGCGTCACTTCAATTACTCCTTGTGGCTATCTTAAGAGTAGGGTTGATTGAAATTAATCGAATAACGGATGATTAGTTTTAATTGATTGTTTTTTGATTTGTTGTATTTAAAAATGTTTTTGCACCTAGCAGACACTGAATAAAGACGAATGAATCACCAGACAACTCAGTAAAACCCTGCGATTTGGACACACATCAGTGAGTCACTCTCAAGACAAACACCAGTGGTAGTAGTCACACTAGTGCCCCTACGATTTTCAATGGGCAAATCAATTAACTATATCACTAACCTTTTTATTAATTTGTTCAAACTATCATAGAGTCTTGTAGCTCAGAGGTTAGAGCACTCTCGCCTCGCAAGCAAGAAGACCTGGGCTCGAATCCCAGCAGGCCGAAACGTTGGGCAAGTTTCCTTACTGCACACGCCTCTGTTCACCTAGCAGTAAGTAGGAACCCGGTTAGTCGATTAGCGGATCGCTTTTCCAGGGGTAATAATCCCTTAAAAAAATTTGATCACTCAATCCACGACTGTTTGTGGGACACTATTAGCTGCCGCATTTCCCCCACAAAATATTCTGTCACTTTACCGTATTCTGTGAAGCACTTTGAGACGTCTCAAAGACGTAATAAGACACTATATCAAATGCAAGGATGATTATTATATTCGCAGAAGGTCACCGGATCTAAGTTTTAAATACAAAACAACACATGGATTATAATATGAGGATTATACCATTGTGCCCTTCAATAGAGGAACACATGTATACAGTTCAATGAGTGGGTGTACATTAGTAGAAGCAGTGATGGAAAAAAGGTTTTAAGTGTTATTGACAAGTTGCTGAAAGCAACCCTTATAGAGTTATGCCACGTATAGATGGCACCCCAAGTGCCATTGAACAGCTGGTTTTAACCCAATAAATCTAGTGGTGTAGTAATACTATATTAACAACACTATGTGCAATTTTAGGCATGCTATCTCTAAAAGATGTGGTGAGGTTTCAAAGAGCGATGAGGACAATAGAGTAAAGAATTCTGTGCTATGAACAATGATGCACGGAAAAAGATTAAAATGCAACATGATCCCGCTCTTTAAAATGTTGAAAGACACGAATCGTGTAGCTATTAAGTGAACTTGCAACCATAGACCTGGAAGGCAGGGGTATAATTTTTCTCTGCAAAGCTTTTTCTCTTCCCCTACCCACCCCACTCAAGCCAGTGAGTTGTGTGAAGTGCTCTGGGCTGTGAAAGGCACTAGTATATACATGCAAATTGTTGTTGAAAAAGATAACTTTAAAAGATTGAACCATTTAAATCATATTTGCATCTGAGTGCAGTCTTGCACAATATACCTGTTTTGGGCCTTTATTTATTTTCAATATGTTTTTGAAAGAAAGACAGTAGCCATATCTTGGCATAATTTACCATCACTTGTTTAACACTTGAGGTAGTACCTCGCTTACATGCTGAGTTACTTATTTGATGAAAAAAGTTGAGTGAACATCTAATTATAAAATTGATCAAATGCTAGAGGTATGTATAAACAGAGTGCAGCTGGACATGATTGAATAATGTAGATTGATATCCTAGCTGTATTGCCTTTGGAGGTCATGGAGAATTTTGAAACTATATCATATTCAAAGCTTTGCCTGTGGTTATTCACCTCTCAGGAGATGAAATAGACCAATTTCATGACAGTGCATTGTACAGATCTTTAGAAGGAATGAGCAGGATTGACAGATGATCTCTCATTCCAGACTTTATATTCTATCCACACAGAAACTAGTGTTGTAATCAGGACTGCTATACATTAAAAAAAGGACAACACATCTCTAGACTTTCCAAATCAGTTTCATAGAACCCAAACATTAATTATTTTACTTTATAGCTTTATGGCAACCACTACAAAATCAGTTTCAAGGCATCACGGGTCTTTGGGAGAAAACCCAGGGTTGTTGTTCCTCCCCTCAATTATTCATGCTGCGGTTATTAACCAAACTGAAGTTTATTGCAGGATGGTATGTACAGCACTGTTTTGCTGCAGTTAATGACAACAGAGACTATGATAGAGATCCTTCGTGATATCGAAGTCACCCCTCTTGGTCACAACCATCTGGAAAAGTGACCTAACTGTTCAAACAGAAAAGAGACTCGACAGCATGCATGCATCTGCCATGTAATTTAATACCTTTCTGAATGCAAGTAAATTAACAACCGGGGCACATGGGAAAGTGCAAGAGTGCATTAAGTGATCATCTTGATCTTGGTGGTCTGTTATCTTATACAATTCTCCATTGTAAACAAAGCTTTACTCCCAGACTATCATCAAATTAGTGACAGCCTCCAGATACCAACAATTTGTTAAAACGTTTCTTAACTCTGCAGAGAAATCCAGATGCCTCACACAGGAGGAATGAATGAATTGAGGAGTGTGAATTTATTGAATTGCACCCCAACAGGGTTGAAGTGTGCATATTTAATTACAATCATGAGCATCAGATAACAGTTGGTTTTAAATA